CGAGGCCAACAAGGTCAACATCGCCTCGCTCCGAGACCCCGAAACCGACGACCAGCGTGTCAAGAACCCCGAGTGGCTGGTCATGCTGGGTAAGGAGCTTCCCCCGCCCCCGTGCTCAATTGTTGGCGAGTCGTGCTCGGTTGGATGGCGCGAGCTCGCCCCGTTGGTCGATGAAGCATTGATGAGCTGACGAAAATGTTCTTTTTCTTTCTAGGTGTCTGCACCCATCTGGGCTGTGTCCCCATTGGCGAGGCCGGCGACTACGGCGGCTGGTTCTGCCCCTGCCACGGTTCTCACTACGATATCTCTGGCCGTATAAGAAAGGGACCCGCCCCTCTGAACCTCGAAGTCCCTCCCTACGATTTCCCCGAGGAGGGCAAGCTGGTTATCGGTTAAGGGAGCCGCATAGGCTGCGGGTGTACGAATAACTTTGAATGGGGCTAGCGGATAAACACATATTGTAGACCGGACTGGGGAGAAGGAGAGAGATTGGGTCGGTGATAGTAAAACAAGCCAACATTCGTGTGGGCACAACTCTTGTTTCTTAGACGTGGGCTTGTGGCCTATTCATTGTATAAATCATACAACGTCCTAAATAATTTGGTTACCAAAGGTGTTTTTTTGGTGAAAGTGAACCCCACAAGTTTCGATTAATGTCTATCTCATCTTGAGATAGGAAGCTCTATCTACAGTCGGGCAAGATACATGATTGACGGATAAATTATTGATTTGTAGATTCATTCAGAACTCCAAAGTCTACATTGAAGGCCTTCTCTATTTTATCATAACCACTTTTAATGTCCATGACCATCGTCCTCTTGTTGCTCGGGATCCAGCTTGATGAGGGTATCAATACGCATGATGCTGATGCAGGCCTCGACGGCACTCTTGAGCTGCCGTACCTTGCTCATGCTGGGCTCCAAAACACCAATCTTGAGCTCATCAACCACCTTCCCGCGCATCAGGTCCAGGCCGTAGTTCTTGTAGCCCTTCTTGTGAGCAATGGTCTTTTCGTTCTCGTTGGCATCACCCTCCTGGATGCGCTGAGAAAGAGCATGCCTCGAGCGAAGCTGAGCAACAAGCTCTGCGGAGTCCTTGGCGGCGTTCACAGCCAGAGTCTTGGGGATAATGAGGAGAGACTGGGCGAATTCGCCAATGGCCAGCTGCTCGCGAGAGCCAACAGTTCCAGCGAATTCCTCCAGGTAGATGTGCAAGGCAGTCTCAACAGCTCCTCCGCCAGGCACGATGCTGCCGCTCTCTAGCGTTCTCTTCACAGCGAATAAACTGTCGTGCATCGAGCGCTCCATCTCATCCAGAGTGTAGTCGTTAGGTCCTCGTAGGATGAGGGAAGCAGAAGAGTGCTGCTTGGTTCCCTTGACAAGAATGCACTCGTCATCTGAGATACGCTCCTGCACAACCTCTTCGGCATATCCCAGGTATGAGGGGTCGAACTTCTCGTCACCATTCAGGTCGGAGAATGTGCTCAGCATGGTGGCACCGGTGGCCTTGGCGATTCTCCTCAGGTCCTCCTTCTTGCATCGTCGGACACCCATGGCGCCTCGCTCGACAAACGTCTTCAGAATTAGGTCGTCAATACCCTTTGTGGTGAGGACGACATTGGCACCGGCCTTGAACATGAGCTCAACTCGCTCGAGAATCATACCGGCCTCACGAGCGCGGATCTGCTCCAGTTGCTGAGGATCGTCGACAACCACCTGGACACCCAGCTTCATCTTCTCCTTTTGTAGGTTCATATCCAAGATGGCGATCTTGGCATCCTTGATGCGTGTAGGCATAGCCTGGGAGGCTACAGTGCAGTTGAGAGCATAGCCCTTGACGAGTATGGATTCGCGGACGCCCTTTCCGTGGGCCTTGAGAATGTTGACAGCTTTGACGGGGTATTTGGACTCGTTCTTGTTGTTTGTGGTCTGGACAGCCTTGATGGCATCAACGGCCATCTCGGCGAAGAAATCATCGTCGGCACCAATAATCTTGCTGGACATGGAGGTCTTGGCAATCTGCAGGAGCGATTCACGGCCGAGGTTCTCGACCTTGATGCTGACGTTTTCGTTCAAGTACCTGACAGCTTCGCGGAGTGCAAGACGGTAGCCGGTGATGATTGTGGTGGGGTGGATACGGTTCTTCATGAGCTCGTTTCCTCGACGTAGGAGTTCGGCAGCGATAAGCACGACGGAGGTGGTGCCGTCACCGACTTCTCTGTCCTGTTGCTGGGCCAGGTCGACCAGGATCTTTCCTGCAGGGTCCTCGACATCGAGAAGGCTGAGAATAGTAGCACCATCGTTGGTTACTGTGACGTCCTGCGGTGTGTGAGTTGCTGGGCCTCCTACTCCCTATTGCGGAACCACTTACTCCAATCTCGTCCACCATCATCTTGTCCAGGCCGCTGGGGCCGAACGAGCTCTTGACGACATTTGCGATCGCTTGCGTGGCGAGAACTGCAGAGGTGTTAGCCAGGCGTGCTCCTAAAAGATCAATCTCCTGGCCGTCTCGTCCGTGGGTGGCGTACCGTTCTGATCACGAATGTCTGCGCCCGAGATCTTCTGGCCGCCGAGGAACAAGGTGCCGTTGCGGGGCTGCTCGAACATGGACGCCATGGTTGGAAATATCCCCCAAACGGCTGGGTCAGGCTGGGTGACTCTTGGGTTCGATCGGGTAGGTGTGCGTGGGAGGTTGCCAGGTTGTGCAGGTCTGCGATGGGCGTCTGGATCCCACAAGCTACCATCAGATGCTAGCAGCTTCCCTCATGGAGAATTGCCCCTCGATTTTTTTGCCGGGTGCTTTGATTGTTCCTGCCCCGGAGCCAAGGCGGTCTCACAGGGCACCGCTTCCTATCTGGGTTTAGCCCGTAGCGACAGCACGGACTGTCTTCACCCCACCACCAAATCAGACAGGCTTATTTTCCACCTCGATGGAATTCGTGATGCAACCCAGAGTCTTAGCACTGCTTTGCTAGGATGGTACTGACTTAATGCATGCGCATGCTCTCTGTATTGAAAAGCTTGACCAAAACGAAAACTAGAACTGTCAGCAATTTTCCATGTCAGCATAGGTAGGTAAGCTACCATAGCCACAACGAACATCGAGGACTGGTGCGTGGAACATTCGACGCTATGTGAATGCGACTTACTCGGCGTGTACTGCCACAATTCGTCCATTGAAGCTAGAGCTGAAATCCCAACACCTGTCCTTATCAGATCAAGAGAATCCTTTTCTCCAAAGAACCTACGCGTGACTAAGCTCCGACCTCCGCCAGTATTCATCGACTTAAAAAAAGAATCATCATTCTTTCTCCTGAGCGACCTAGTTGCTGATTTCGCTCAAGTCGACACAGGCTCTTAAGAAGATAGGGACAAAGAAACACAATATCTTAGGTCAAACTGTGCTACCCATGATAGGGAGGCCTCTTATTTTATTGGAAAGTTCATAGTCGCCGCTGTGGTCAATCACCAGGCTTCTAGTCTGATTTCCTTCAACACATTTAACGATTTCTATCGTACCAGTGAACATTTTGAGTCCTGTGAATGAATAGATCCAGAATCTATCTACGTTGAAGCTCCGTAGCCTCATGCTGATCTAATTAACAACCCTCATCATATCACACTGAGCTTGATCCTTTTCGAAACTGAATACCTAGAATGTTAGTTGGTTGCTAATGAAAGTTGAGTTCGATGTAACATCATGCTCCCCTGAACCCACGACTCCCCCTGGTAGTCTATAAGCAACATACAACGTTTGCACATTATGCCTACTTGTACATATTCGAACAACGCGAACCTACACACAAACACGAAATTTGCAAGGTGAGAGAAGAAACAGAAACAGAAACAGAAACAGAAACATCTGTTAGACCAGTACAGTGCGAACCATTTGTTCAATACCGAATGTAGAAACAGCTACTTCTGGAGACCTCTGGATTGGAAGCGGTAACCCGCAGGGAGCATTCAAAGACTAATCAAGGACTGTACAGGACAGTGATCTCCCTCCAGCGCAACTGACAACACCTGATAAATACGACGATGAGCCCAAAATAGGAGGTCCAGACTGTGCAAAGAAAGCCTATAAAGCACAGCGCGAGTCAGGTGCTGTTGAGATTGGTTCTGATGGGAGATATTCGGAAGAGAAGAAACCTAACATGATGAGATCTATCTAAGATCTAGATGAGCCGTTGCAACACGAGAGAGGGGGCTAAGGATGTTGGAATTCAAGTTATATCCATCAGTGCCGAGTAAAAACTAGATGTCAGTGGGCAAGGATGGAACCAGGGAGTGAGATTAAGCCGATAATAGGCTTGAGAACTCTGGGCTAGAGAGATTTCATTACCGAAATATAGAACCCTTGTTATTCATCAAGAACCAATTCTAACAGAAGCTCTGAAGCCTAATATGGACTAAACGAATGACCGAATGACGAATGAAGCCTTCTTCTCAAGATCCCTAAAGATGTTACGGGGTGAACACACACATTGGGCTGTCACAAAAACGGCCCTTGTGTCTTTGTGTGTTCAAGCTTCTAGGGAAAGCTCAGTAAGAAGTCACAGATATCTGAAAGAGGCCAACCCCTTCACCGACTTCTCCGACTCTTTACGGGGCTTATGATGTGGAAACTTTCGACACAAATGGTCATTTGCTCCATGCGGCTAGGAGTTCGCGGCCAACAACCAACACCAGCACGACCAATAACTGGCGGGGCCAATCTGCATCGCCCCTGCTAGTCTTGCTAATTTTCGGTCGAGTAGTCTCAGGCTCATTTTCACAGTGCGTGGCTTTCGAATGTTGATGTCTTTTTAGATTAATGAATGGGCAATAAATCTTCTCCTGTGTCTTGCTATGCTAGAAAACGGTGCATGGCTGCAGCACAATTTTCAAGAGCCAGCTTCTACAAGGCCCCCAACAAGTGTGATAAAAGCCAGCCCCTCCTCCTCTTTCTAAATACGCACGCATCACAGCAGTCCCAGCAGCCTCTGTCCTTATTGCCCCCCAATGGCCGATGAACGCCCCTCTACTCCTCCTCAAGAGGCCCCAGAAGGCTACGCTCGCCCCGATGACTTCGGTTTGTTTGCAAGCACCACATACTCGCTGGCTATCGGTGAGACACTTGAACTTAAACGCATGCGCGACCGCGATGTGGTAATTAAGCTTGAGATTTCCGAGGACGAAGTGCGTGTGTTACACCTGAAACACGTGAATGAGGGTACACTCGATGAGGCAAAAGCTGCGGTCGACGGCTTTTTGGGACAGGTCGAGCCGCTTGGAGATGGCGATGATAATGGCCCCGGTGGCACCGTGTTCGAAATGTTTGGGAGGGTGCATACAGATATGGTTGGCCCTCTCAAGGGCGTCATGGATAGTGTCCACGAGCTGTCCTCCCTACTAACGAAGATGGATACTACCGTTAGTATGTATCCCAAGAAGCCGTTACCCAGGAGCCTGGGCGACACTCACCTGGAACAATCCTACAACCCGGTCGTTGAGCTTCGAGAAGCCAGCGACGCCTTCTACAACCAAGTCAAGGCGATCAAGTTGAAGTCAGAGAGCTACAGTAATGAAACCCGTCCAACGATAAAGGGGTTTGGATTGTTTAGAGCAGACTATGACGTCCATAAAATTCTTATAGCCCACATGATGGAGAAGGGCCGGAATCGTGGGGTCTGGTTTCATTGGGACGAGTATGGCTACCAAGGCAGTACACAGCGGAATATCGGTACATGGATTGGCTATAGTCTTTCTTTCAAACAGGATTATAACACAAAGGCTCAAAGCTGGGTACACAAATTTGAGGCGAGATCTGTGCGACTGTGGTATCTTGATGAGTAAGTGGCCAGATCAACCCTCTGTCATTGCATTATTCGCTAATGTGCTCAGCCCACGGTATTGCAACGAGTTCACCTTGGACTCGCAACCTCCATGGTTCATGGAGAATGACGTACGCCCTTTCATGAGCTACACCTACGTGATGGTCAAAGGTGGCCATGGCCCGCAGAAACTGGACCTCGATGTGCGTGATACCGACATGGTGCTTCAAATCCAGCCCAAGGACGGTGTCTGTCGCCTGCTGCATTTGTACCATGTGCGCCAAGAGACGAGCTTGGCGGCAAAGGCTGCCATCGAGAACTTTCTTGACCACTTCAAATCAATTGACGATAACAAGAGAGGCAGATTAGACGATGGGCGTCGCAGGGAATTCAGCATGATGTGTGAGGGTTTTGATCCCGTTCATCAGGAGCTCCTAGAGTCTACTAAAGCAGAGATTGACGAGCGTCGCTTGCGATGTAGATGGGAACCAGGCGGGTGGCCGCGTGCAATATACTGGGAGTGCGGTCAGCAGGTAGGCTACGTGGTCTCTTTCAAGCGTGGCCGCCTAAATGTCGACAACTGGAATCGTGGGATCATACCGGGATCAGAACGCGTTCTCACTGGTTTTGAGCAGTGATTCGTACTTGAGGATTCAAGGGTATAGATAGTGTGGGATCTTGATTGTCTATGTACAGTGTTATCTCAATGGCAGAATAGTAGCGTGAACCGGAGAATCAGTCTTTAAGTCAGTCTTTAAGTCAGTCTCGATCCCGGCCAGAAACTAGAGTGAAATCCATCCCTGACTGCGTGGCTGCTTGAGCTCCCCGTACTCCAAAAATAATCAACAGTTGCCTAGACAAGGTAATCTCAACTAACCATCACATCAATGCGCCAACCATTTGATAATCAACGGCAAAATGACACATCTTCGACTTGTCCCTCACCAAGCGTTTGGTCATTATTGACAAATACGAGACCAGGCATATGGAGATTAGGGAATATGGTGAGGTGTAAAGGAGTCTCTGTTGACTACACAGCTAAAGAACAGCTCCGAATACATACATTTACAACTCGGCTCCTGATACTCACCACCTTTGTTATGCCGGCCTGCAAAGCCTCCCCTCCACCCCTCCACCCCCTTTTCCTCCTGGAGCAAATCTGCTCTCCGGTATTTGAATTGCTTTGCTGTTGCCTCACTGCTCGTTGGCACTCAGGGGCGATAAGTCTCATCACCACCCGTAGTCTCATCTTCGGAACTCTCATCTTCCGATTTCTCACCAGCCGAACTCTCATCTCCCGATTTCTCACCAGACGGACCCTCGCCAGCCGGACCCTTGCCAGCTGGATTCCTGCCACCCGAATTCAAGACGACCGAATCCGCATCGTTCTCGAGCGGCATGCCACCATCGAACACAATACTATGGCCCTTGCTGACTTGTTGTGTGCTGCACATTTTCTGACTCTCCATCTCGAGTTTGTACCACTCAGAATTCGTGTCACCTGTCCTATGATTTTTGAAATGCTTCACCTTTTCTCGCCTGCGATTTGATGTTAGGTCAGATTTTTCTAGGCTTTGGATGACGAAGTCGATATGGGGATCTTACGCATTTTCCTCCATCTCATCATGAGTCCAGGGATCTACACCGTATATTCCCTTGGCTTCAAGTTCGTGCTTGTCGAGTGCAATATATTTCCTATCCTCGGTAAAACCTGGGTGCATGTATCATTAGCCTGCAGAAAACAAGAAGCAAAATTAGGTGTAGCACTTACCCTTTCCCTTGGCATTGGGGTCCAACTCTTTCTCCTGTTTTTTGCCTGGACGATTGCTTATGATTTTTTTTTTCTGTCTATTACCCCTTTCTCTTGGCCATGACTTACTGCGGCTGCATAGTTTGGGTTCTCTGTGCGATAACTCTCGATTCGCGTCTCCCTGCCATCACCTATCTTTTGATAAAGCACCGGCCGCCCCTTTTTGGTAAAGATCCTGTCTATCTCATCGTCATCATGAAACGGGTTCGGTGTGATTGCAAGATACATGCTGTGAGCTCCTTTTGAGCCACCCGGATTCTGATTAAGGCGTTTATCAGATAAGTCAACCTTCGGGTCCGTCTTGGGACTCTCCCCTGTGGCGATCTTCTCCTTGTTCTTGAGTCTCTCCTTTGCAGCGAGACTCTCCTCTGTCTCGAGTCTGGCTACTTTGAGCTTCTTCTCCCGAATTCTACTTCTTCCGATTGACAGTCTTCCTCTGACCGGTCGCCTTCTTTTTGTTGAGAGTCTTCTTCCGGTTGGCAGCCTTAACCTTTCGCAACTTAGTGTCCTTAGAAGAAGTCTTGCTCTTAGGGTTCTTGCTCTTGGTATTTACGCCCTTGGGAGTTTTCTTCCCTTTCGTAGCAGCGTTGCCTTTGGATGCAGTCTTGCTCTTGAAAGCACTTTGAGGAGAATTTCCCTTGCTAGCAACCTTATGCTTGGAAAAGGGTTTCCCTTTGACAAGAGGTTTGCCTCGAGAAGCCTTCTTCCCCTTCATAATATCCCCATTCTTGTTACTAGCCTTTCGTTTAGGGGAGGTCCGCCTTGCAGCAGCTTTCTTTTCCTTGGGGAAGGCCTTGGGAGAAGCTTTCTTGCCTTTGGGCCGGCCATCACCCTTCTTGGCGCCGGCTTTAGTCCGAGCACCAGCTCTCTTAGGTACAGACTTCCTGGGGGCGGCATTTTTCTTCGGATTGCCAGCCTTCTGAGTACCTGGCTTAACCTTGGCATGATTTTTCTTTGGCGTGAACTTCTTGGCTGCCGCGTGCTTAGGTGATGTCTTCTTAGGAGCAACCTTGGGTGCAAGCTTCTTGCCAGATGTCTTGGTAGCTGACTTCTTGGGAGGAGCCTTAGGTGTAGGCTTCCTGCCAATTTTCTTTGGGACAGCCTTAGGTGTAGTCTTCGTAGCAGGCTTCCTAGAGGCGGCCTTCTTAGGAGTGAGTTTCTTAGGAGCAGCCTTAGATGGCGGCTTCTTGGGCGTAGGCTTCTTAGGAGCAACCTTCTGGGGAGCAACAGGCTTCCTAGCACCAAGATTCTTAGGAACAGCTTTAGGTGTGGGCTTCTTCGCCGCAGCCTTGGGCGCGGCCTTTCGTTTGAGGATAACGTCCACTTGGGGCGTAGTCTCGCTTCAGTCTAGAGCTTGACCTCTATCAACGGCCATGCCAACAAAGGGATCCTTGCACCCAGATTAAAATTAGTATGAGCTTCGTCTCAAAGAGCGTTCTGAACCTACTTGAAGTAGTATGCCATCTGCATCATCTTGGGGTCTGGCTCCAATCTCTCCAGAGCTGTTCATAGAGGAAGCATCAATCTTTTTACTATTATCTCCGGCTGCAGCCACCAGGGCCAAGCTCAAGATAGTAGAAAGATAATGGCAGGGAAGCATGGCTGGGTACGTTTACTCAGCATAAGGGAATGAGAGATGAAATTTCATATGGTTGAAGATGGAAATGAAGACTCAAAATATGATTTACACGGTGAATATCTTCCAAGAGCCCTTTATTGCCTCCGACATTCATGTTCCCCTTCAAGTCGAGCCTAATAATAGCAGGGGTGATGTGGACTAGCTCCGTCAGTTTTTTGGCTGTTGGTTGTTAGCCGCATAATTCTGACCGTCTCGAGAGGATTTTGTCTAATGAACCCAGATACTATTTTCGGGTATGTGAGGGGTTTGTTCTACCATTTCACACATCTCGTCGCTTGAATCCTTGCAGACACATGGACTTTTGCTAGCGTGACGGAACTCTACCAACAACCGTCATACAAGGCTGAACAGATGGAGTTGAGTCAGGATCTCGACTCACTCAGACCAACAGCACATGTAAAACCCCACTAATGAGGAGCCCACTCCTTCCCAATTGCCACTAATGTAATATTAGGACCGTGGTTGTCTCTGAAAATCTTACCAACATGTCTTCCACCGTCGGAGTAGCCAGGGCCGGGAAAGCTAGCCTAGTAATAGCAAGCAGGGGCTCTAAGTTGATCATACGTTCCAGGCGTTCTTGGTTCCCATCTTGACTACTTTCGTGAATACGGTGTTGGCCATCCCTGGATCACACGACGTGATGCCTGAATGTAAGGCCTGCCTCTCCCACTCCAGTGCCACTCGTGGTTAGTACACGTTGCTCGGAGAGCAATAAAGGAAATGACTCCTTCTTGGCAAGGCCTTTAAGAGCTACACTGTTAATAGAATCGTAATATTGCATGATAGATATACACCTGGCATATGGCCACGCCAGGAAGATGGGGTACGGTCATAGACACAGTATTGCGCAATAGCTTCGTTGCCCAGGGACTTGCAGAAACGCTCCATTAACACATGATACCGGAGCCTCGCTGGGGAACGGAATCCCGGAAGTGAACGCCAGCTCTTTTCTTGTCGTTGCCTTTCTTGGACTTTGATGACCAACGACATAGGATTGGGCTTGTTTCTGTTCCGCAGTGAGATATGGAGGCTTTGGAATGGAAAGGCAAACTCTTGAGTAAAAACACATTGGCTCTTTAGTAGTGGCTAAAAGCAGAGGCTTCAGAACCAGAAGCATGCAGTTTCCTCTATATAGTAAGTATCCAAACTTCAAGTTGGTTGGTATTTAACTAGTAGCCACGCACGCACGCCGCCCTGTTCAGCGTTTAGTTCAATTAGTGATCGAATAGATTCTCATGAAGCAGAGGATCTTGAGGTCCATATCACGAAAATGAGATGCAGCATGAGCCTTCCGATTCGGGCTGATGAAAGTCACCACCAAAGTGAAGCAGCACCGGGTTCCATAGCTGCCCCAAAGAAAACGAGCCGTTCCAACTGCCTTTTAATTTTAGAGACAGGGGTAGCATTGTTTGGGTTAAGCGAATGGCCTCGCAGAAGAGAGCTTCTTACAATCAGTGGCGATGTGACCTTGGATCTCACTCCGCAACCAAGATAGACTGCTTGCCCTTACGATAGCTCCTTGAATCAGTCGCCTTCGAAAGCAACCTCCATAGATAGAGCACGCATAGAAGATTGGATGGGCTCTCTACTTGAGACAGAGGACGATAAGCTTCCTCTGTAGTTTATCAGAGTTGTACTGTTTCCAAAACCGATGAGGGCATACAACATGAGGGCTCTTCTGCGTTGTTAACAAAAGGATGTCGAATTGTGGGACTGATTAGATTGGCTGAGCACAGTATGATTTATCTGCTAATATAGACACAGCGTGGGGTTTTGAGGAGGCATGTTGAAGGCAGGTGTGACCGGGATCGGAAGGCTACCCGGTGCCTACCTCGTCTGAGAGAACTTGCAAAGTCCAGCGGGCAGGAGCTCTGGTGACATTAACAGGCCAGGTATTCATCGTGTACCTTTGATGGATACCTACCTACCTAATAAATTTATTAAAAAAAAAAAAAAAAAAAAAAGTAAAGAAAGAAAGACCAGTTTCCCTGGCAAAATGCTCATCTCTGGTAAGCCGTTGCATGCAGTGTAATGCACGGACCTTTGCGATAAGACTGCCCCTCCATTTGTTGATTTGGGCTGGCCACACGACTCGGCCACGGTTTGTGACTGCGGGGCAGGGCACCCAATGTCTCGGGCCGCTCGTCGACTCATACCTTCAGCCAGCTCCTCCCTCCCTCTGCGTCTTGCTTTGATTTGCGCCCTCCCTTCCATTGAGCCATCTGTGCACTTCGCAGAGCCCGCGTCAAACTCCCCTCGCCCCCTCCTCACGATTTAGACTTAGATTTCTTCTCCCCGTAGAGATAGATCCCCATTGCATTGCCCCTCCAGGTCCAAAATTGTTTTTTTGCCCCCGCACCCGAAACAGAACAAGGCACACCAAAACCTGCGAGCCAACATGCCTGAGGAAGCACCAAAGGAGCAGTCCAAGAGCGCCTTGAAGAAGGCCGAGAAGGCCGCCAAGATGGCTGCCGACAAGGCTGCCAAAGCCGCCAAGCAGGCCGCTCTCCCTGTCGTCGGTGGCAAGAAGGCTGAGGAGATCATGGGCATCACCGTCACCAAGGCTGACAATTTCCCAGCCTGGTACCAGGAGGTTGTCCTAAAGTCAGAGATGGTCGAGTACTACCAGGAAATCTCTGGCTTCTTCGTTCTGCGACCCCTCAGCATGCACATCTGGTCTACTATTCGCAACTGGTTCCAGAAACACATCGAGGAGATGGGCGTCGAAGAGACCAGCTTCCCCATTTTCTTGTCCGCCAAGTCGCTCGAGAAGGAGAAGGACCACGTCGAGGGTTTCGCCCCCGAGCTTGCTTGGGTGACAAAGGCGTACGTAGTAGTGCTTAGGCATTTCGATCAGGCAGTCTGGCTAATTCTTGTTTCTCCAGTGGTGACAAGGACCTCGAAGTCCCCGTTGCGATCCGACCTACCTCCGAAGCCGTCATGTACCCCTACTACTCCAAGTGGATTCGCAGCCACCGCGATCTTCCCTTACGATTGAACCAGTGGAACTCCGTCGTGCGATGGGAGGCAAAGCAGACCACCCCTTTCCTACGAACACGAGAATTTCTCTGGCAGGAGGGCCACACCGCACATCTGACTGAGGAGTTGGCTGGAGAGGAGGCACTGCAGATCCTCGAGCTCTACGCTGGCGTCTACGAGCAGCTTCTTGCCGTTCCCGTCGTGCGAGGTCGCAAGACTGAGAACGAGAAGTTTGCTGGTGGTTACTACACTACCACTGTGGAGGGATACATTCCTTCCAACGGCCGTGGTATCCAGGGAGCTACCTCCCACTGCCTTGGCCAGAACTTCAGCAAGATGTTCGACATCACCGTTGAGGACCCCGCCAACAAGGGATCTCATCTCCACGTGTGGCAGAACTCTTGGGGTCTCTCCACACGTGTCATCGGAGTCATGGTCATGGTTCACGGTGATGACAAGGGTTTGGTTCTCCCCCCTCGCATTGCCAAGATCCAAGCCATTTTCATCCCCATCGGTATCAACAAGAACACGACACCCGAGGCAAAGAAGAAGCACGAGGATACCATCGAGGACATCCGTGCCACCCTTAAGAAGGCTGGCGTGCGAACTGATGCCGACTGGAGGGAGGGTTACACCATTGGCTGGAAGTTCAACGATTGGGAGCTCAAGGGTGTTCCCCTGAGAATCGAATTCGGTTTCAAGGATGCCGAGAAGGAGGTCATCTCTTTCGCCCGCAGAGACACCGGTGAGAAGGGTACCATCCCCATCTCCGAGGTCGGCACCAAGGTCCCCGAGTTGCTCGAGACCATCCAGAGTGACATGTATACCAAGGCCGAGGCCGCTTTCCGGGAGCACCGTATCCAGATCACCAAGTGGGAAGAGGTCCTCCCCGCTCTCGACAACAAGAACGTTGTCCTTATTCCCTTCTGTCTCGACGGCAAGTGCGAGGATCGCATCAAGGTGCTCACAACCCGTGAGGATAACCAGCCTGACGTCCCTGAAAACCAGAAGGCTCCTGCCATGGGCATGAAGAGTCTCTGCATTCCTTTCGAGCAGCCCGAGGGTGTGGTTGCAGGCGAGACTGAATGTCTCAACCCCGAGTGCGAGCGCAAGGCCCAAAAGTGGGTCATGTTTGGCCGAAGCTACTAAGCTCATTTCACATTCTTGTTCATCATGACGGTTGCTTTGGCTTTTTCGAATGGAGCGACGGGCGCTCTCCAGGTATCATGTGTTTAGTTTAAGGTTAGGGGAAGGTGTTGGCGAACAAGATGGTGAAAGTTATGATGATGAGACCAAGATTTCGGACCGTGCCCTTGTGTTCGTATCGCCTGTAGACGTGATCGAGTGGATGCAATCAAAGATGGTGCGCCCAGATCATCAACATCGTAAAACAATCGACACCAGATATCAGGATAATAAACGATATAGCAGTCTATTATCTACTCATCTTGTAGTTTTTTGCCGACGCACCTCTACCTGCTTGCCTAGCACCATGCGAACTTCTCATTGACGAGCCACTCCACGCTGTCGACATCCCCGTCTCCGAACCAGCGAAGACTGGTGACGCTGTCGCTCTCCCGGCTCACGAACCTGGCTCCGAGCCCCGCGCTCCCCTCCGCCAGGGCGCGCACCCTCGGCTCGGGATTCCACATGTGCACCGTCCCGCAAGCCCAGTCGCGCGCCTCGCTCCTCGCGGCCGCCACGATGGCCTCGAGGGCCCGGCCGAGCTCGTCGTCCGGGGTGGCCTCGTCCTCGACCACGAACCGCAGGATGTAGAAGGCGTTCTTCTCCGGCTGCGAGGGCGGCGCGGAGTGGTTGCGGCGCCAGATGGCCCAGACGCGGCCCCCAGAGGGGA